TATGTAACGTTCATGAACATTCCATATAAAATGTAATAGTTATACTATAAATATATACAAGTTTTACTAAGTTTTAAAAAACTCACGATGAAAGTTTTAAGACTATCTTTATCGGTGACCCAATGTCTTGGGTCACCAGCAAAAAGACAAAAAAAAAAAAGAATAAATAAATAAATGTAAAAAATCATGCTACCCAGATCACATTGTGATGTTGGGTCGCAACCAAGTTGAAGGTAAATGGGAAGAGAGAAATGGAACACATGTCCTATTTCTATTGGTCACAGTTAATTTTATGATAAGATAAAAAAAATTAAATTATTGGTGTTAATTTATATTAAAAAAATAAAGATATCAAAATTCAGGGGCAGATCTACACAGGGGCCCGTGCCCACAGGGACCCGTAGGGGCACTGGCCCCTTTAGAATCTTTTAGTAATATACTATATATATGTTATATGTATAGATGTATTATTATATTGACATAAAAAAAAAAATACATGTTATTAATTATTATGCAAAGTTATTTCAATATAAAAAATAAAAAAGAAACATTTAGATTTATTTAACCTTCAATAATATGTTATTTTTTAAGGTGTAGAATTTATGCTTATGTTATACTCAACTTCTTGTTTATTTCCTTTTCCTTCTCAAAATATGTAATAAAATAAATATTATACATAAATGTATATACTATATAGGGATTGGATCAAATGCGTCCCTATTCTTAAAATGAGAATGTGTCAATGCTTTTGTTTCTTTTTTCCGTTTCAGTTAGTTTGGCCTTGTATGGTCGTGTAGAGATGCTTGTTGTAAGCTCCCCTATTGGCTCCTTTACTGTTCTTTCAGTCGAGGTGTGTAACATGTAGCCCGTTGGTTACGCGGCGTACTCTTTGAGTTTTTGTTTAATGCATATGGTGTCTGGTCAACATTTAATCTTTTTATTTTTTTAATTGGTTAAATATTGATTTGACCTTTGATCTCCAGCGTTGACTGTTGATCGTTGTTTGTGCCCCTGTTTGTCCTTAAAGTCTGCGTCCGCTCCTGCCAAAATTCGTGTTTTTTTATTCTCTATAAATAAAGACCACACTTGATAGGTTTTGAAATACAATTGCAATTTATCTCTTTTCACTATTTTCTTAATCGTACCTTATAATTTTATCATCTTTTTCATTTTTTCTAATTTTCAACAAATACCATATGGATCGTAATTTTTTTTTAATTGTATGGTAAAATATTAATTTATTTAAATCATTACGACTTTATTATAGATGTTTTAATTAATTTATCACATCTAAAACAATAACAAAAAATTAATTGTATATAATATTTAATAAATAAATAAATAAAAATAAACCAAATATTATGTTTGGTTGGGTTGGGGATAAAAATATGTAGGTTGTAAATGTTAAGTTGTGTCTGAATTAATTTAAATAGACAAAAATGTGTAAATAAATTATTCATCTCAAAATGATTAAAATAGACACTCACGTCTAATTAATCAAATTTACTGGTCGAGCTAGATGAAATGCAATAAAATGCATAATGTCATAACTAATCGAGATGTCTACTAATATGAAATCAAATTTACTGGTCGAGCTAGAAAATGAAATGCAATAAAATACATAATGTCATAACTAATCGAGATGTCTACTGAAATGAAATCAAATTTACTGGTCGAGCTAGAAAATGAAATGCAATAAAATGCATAATGTCATAACTAATCGAGATGTCTACTGAAATAAAATCGGGGCGCTACAATTAGGCAACTCTTTATTCCATACAAGCCTGAAAAATTGGACCAATAATATTAGACAGTTCTTTATTACAACATTAGCATTGTTGCCCTAAAATTTTAGGATTCTCCCAATTTTGAATACCCATCTTTTAAACCTTCAAATTAAACTTCGAATCGGATTGCATACAATATGCAATTAGAAAATTCGAAGTTCTTATACTTTAAAAACTCCCTAAATATTTTATATTAAAAAATTTGATTTATTTTTAGAAGTCCACAATGGACGAAATTGTACGTAAAATATTCACCCAATTTTGAATACACTTTTTTTACATACTAAATTGTTAATGAGATAGTAATTTGTAATCAATAATAATTCATCTACTTCGGATCGCATACACCAACGGAAGCCCAAAAAATCAGAACAATCTGATGTTTAATACTTTTTCTTCCCATACTAAATTGTTAATGAGATAGTAATTTGAAATCAATTAAATTCATCTACTTCCACAAGTTCAAGTTTTCAAAATTATTGAAATTGGTTCGCATACATCACGTATGGAATCCGAAAAACCCAGAACAATCCGATTTTTAATACCCTTTTTCCACTTATTAAATTGTTAATAAGATAGTAATTTGAGATCAACTAAAATTCATCTGCTTCTACAATTTCTAATTTTCAAAATATTTGAAATCAGATTGCATACACCACGTATGTAAACCCAAAAATTCGGTACAATAATATTTGTCTACCATTTATTGCAAATTTTTTGATTTTTTTTAAACATAAATCAATCATCATTGCACTGGTCAAATTTCAAATTTTTGAGGTAAAAAATTAAATATCGAAATAATGAGTTTGTAACTACAAGATTCTTTCTTTACTTTCAAAAGTCCATATTGGACGAAATTCTAAATAAATTATTTTTCCAATAATGTTGTGTACAAGGAGTCTTTAATAATATATAANACAATTTGCCTACTTAATAAGAGTTATTTTATTTATTTATACATATGATTGTTCAATTTGCCTATCTAATATAACTCTTTTATTTATTTATAAAACTTAAAATGTAATATTACCCAAATAAATACAGCTCGTGCATCGCTCGGGTCAACACTAGTTGTAGAATAAACTGACACATGTAATCTATATATATATATAAAGAATAACTATTTATTAAAAATAGTAGCAAAAAGTCAATGAGCATTTAATGCATACTTTATTTGAAAACTTTTTAAATATATACATTAATCTATATATATAATTGCTGGCTCATGAGCATTTAATAAAACCTATTAAATTATACCTATGTGGCAATATAAATTTTTCCCTCCAAAAACTGTTACTTTTTATTTATTTAACCTCTCATTTAATTATTAAATAATCAACACACTAATCACTTCAAATTTACAAAAATCATTTTAAACTTTTGATTTACTTACAACGGACCATATAATGTGTTGACTATTTAACGTGATTAGATGTTATTGTTGTGGTTACATTTAAATTAACTTCTTTTGAAAAATAAAAAAACATATATGAAATTCCTAAATAAATAATAAATAATTCACAAAAAAATATATACCAAAATATACATTACATCCAATATGATAAATGCAATTTAAAAAAAAATAAATATTCCAGCTCCTTTAATTGTAAATTTGGCCACAAAAAAGTGCAAGAAAAATCATTAATCATTATATGCATCAAATAACTCACACTACTTTATTTACATCTCTGCAAATGCACATGTCAAATACTAGTTGCTTTAATATACACATTTCCAAATCAGATATGATCAAAAGATTCTTTCCTTGAATAATTTTATTAACATATGCAATAATTTTATTGTTATCCATTATAATAAACTATAATTTGCTTTTTCGTGATTGGTGTTGATAATATTTTGGTCAACATAAACCTATCCATTATAATAAACTATAATTTGATTTTTCGTGATTGGTGTTGATAATATTTTGGTCAACATAAACCTGAAAACAAATTTTAAGTCTTAACCATATTATTAATTTTGTTTCACAAATGTTGACTTTCATCCTAAAATATTTATAAACAATCGTAACATGTTAAATAATTCTCCCTCTAACTAATTAGCCGAAATCAAGTTGGTGAATTAATATTTTTCGATAATATTTTTTAACCTTTGTTTAATTATATAAACAAATAATTTTTTAAAATTAAAATAATTTACCATTTAAGAGATAATGATCACATCATTAAATAATTTATTAATGACTAGAAAATAAACTAAAATATATTAATTATTCTTTACAGTTTTAAAATTTGATTTATTTGTATATTATTGTCAACCATTATAATTTTATCATTTTTTTATTTTTATTTGTTTCCACAATGAATTTATTGTAAAATATATATTTATATTGCAGTATGTTAAATAAACTAATAAAGCCTTAGGATGCAAATTAGAAAAATCTCTTGATTATGTAAGGTGTATTGTTTGACAATTTGCTAAATCATTTTTTTAATTATTATGAGAAAATTAAATTCTAAAAAACATGTGTGTGTATTTTGTAAACATTTTACACAAAATTTTATTTTAAACTCATTACATAAACTAAGAAAAAGAAAACTACTTCTGTAACCTTTATAAAATAATAATAGTGACATTATATGACAACAAATATTATAATAATATAATAATTGATTATTAAATGGTGAACAAGAATAAGCATAATTTTTATTTTTTTTCTTATATCGATGAATAAATATATATTGTAGAATCAAATTTATATTAGTATAACGTGTTAGCAGAATGATATATTAATTAACATGTCAACATTATGACTAAAATAAATATCACTAATTGAAAGAAGTGAAAAATTGATGATCCAACCCTATTATTTTTTGCCAAAACGATACAAGCCCTATAGAAATGACTCAATTAATATATGTGTCTCGTACATCTCACAGGCTATACACTAATATATTATTAGTTGGTGGAAAGAGAAATATAAAATAAATAATATAATATAGAATAAAAGATGTTTAGAAGTCTTTATACGTCTAGAAAGACTTCTAAAAATTTTCGCATTGAATTATTGATGATACATGACAATGAAATGGAGCAATGCACACCAATCTCATTAGAGATGCTCTAGAAACACGCACAAACGGAAATGCCTTCGTTTGTTTACATGAGAAAGGAAAAAAGAAAATGTCAAAGTCAGGAGGCATTTTAGTTTTCTTTTTTATAGTTTTTACTTTTTAGCATTCAAAATTGTGAGCAGGAAAAATGAGAGAGAAATAATATAAATGAAAAAAGAAAAAAAGAGCAAATAAATTGAAATGAAGGAGTGGAATTCAAGAGAGGCACTACCGAGTTCACCACCTACAATTTCACTTTTTCCCAACCAACCAATTAGCCCACAAATTTGGATTTCTACTTTCAAACGCTTTGATCTTCACTGGAAAGAAAAAAGGATTAAAATAAAGGGAACTTCAAAAGAACCAACAAAAATTGAAGAAGAAGAAGAAGAGGAGAGAAAGAAAGAAAGAAAGCAGGGGAATCGTAGGCTGGGCCATTCTTGTTCTGTCCAGTGAGCTCTTTTTTCCCGTTAATATCGCTTTTCTCTTCGCGATTGTTTATTTCTTGTTGTATGTGCAGTGTTTTTTCCGTTCTTTGTTAATTCTTTGATTTGAGCTCCCTCCTTTTGTTCGCTTTACTGTTTATTTGTTTTTTCTTGTATAATTTTTGGTTTTGCTTGTTTACCTCTTGCTTCTTCTTCTTTTTTTTTTTCGGAATTTTTTCTGTGGCGATTTTCTGTTGGCCTAACTTTAATTTGTATGATATTGTTAGTAAATTGTTGTCTGCATGTCGAGTAGATTAACGGATTATTCTCTTCGTCGAGTAAAGGATTTATTAAAGGAAGTGTTTTGTGGTTCAATTCTGCTCTGGTAGGAAAAAAAAAAATGTTGCCTTTGTGAGTTTCGGTGGATCTTGGAAGATTTAGACTGAACCTAATTAGTCCATGAGCTTGATGAGTTCTTAGTGGAATTTCCCTAGGGAAAGGGCTTTGATTTTTATGGTTTTCTCTCATGCCCATAATCCTGTGTTTCATACTTTCAGCAGACTGTGTTTTTACTTCTTCGATGACTGAAAGGAATTTGATGTTCTTCATTTTTTTCCTTGATAAGCACGAATGTGTTAAAGTGATAACTTATGCCCCTTGTACCGTACGAATTCACATGCATTTCTTTGTTTTAATTTTTTAACAGACATCAGGTGTCTCGATGAAGAAACCAGGTGCAAGTGAGGAATTAGAGAAAAAGCACGAAGAAAGCAGAAGCCGAGTAAGGGAGGACAGTGAGTATGTGAGGTTGGTTATACCGACCGTACAAAGATTACCTGAAGCAGATACAAAATCTGTAGCACAATCAAGGAAGAAGTCTCTTGTATGGTGGATCAAGTTCGTTATATGGTGTTCAATCACTGTAATACTGCTCCTAGCATTTGTTAAGTGGGGTGTGCCGTTTCTTGTAGAGAAGGTAGTCTTAATATCCTCATGTTGTTGGTAGTTATAAATATTTCTTGTTACTTCTTCTGCATAACCTTCAAAATTAAAATTTTGGTGAATTTTTTGCTGTTATTGAAGAAGTTCTAAAAATTATTTTGCTGATTGGCTAAAGAAATTGACGAATTTCCATCTGGTCTGTGTCCATTAATGAGCTTTGTTAGTATACAATGAAGCAAAATAGTTCTCTAAATATCTCCCTTATTGGCTTACTGTTGGAGTCTGGCATCAAATCTTAAAGTCTTGTGTGTGTTTCCATCATTGGCTTTCGTTATCGCAAAAGCAGTTGTTCATTAGTCCTTGACGCTTCTTACAATTTGTGTAAGCTGTAAAAAATGTTCAACCGGTAATCTTTCAGCTTGAGAGCTACTAATCGTTAATAACGACAGTGAAATATATGATTATTCTACCAGCATCTTTTGGCCAACCCTGCATCAAGATGAGCTGAAACTTAATGCTGCATTTCCATTTTTATTTACTCTAGTAAAACATATTCAATCATAACAAGTAACTAGACATGATAGTACATGTCTTTGTCCTCGTGCTGCAAATTTGATTATACGGGTACAAGATTCCGGGTTCTAACCTTTAATTTATTTGGTTGTATTCAGGTTCTTTATCCACTGTTGCAATGGGAAGCCACAGCATTCGGTCGTCCTATACTGGCGCTAGTACTCGTGGCCTCATTGGCTTTGTTCCCCGTTTTTCTAATTCCTTCGGGTCCTTCAATGTGGCTAGCCGGGATGATTTTTGGATATGGCTTGGGTTTTCTCATTATTATGGTTGGGACAACCATTGGAATGACATTGCCCTACTTGATTGGTTTACTCTTCCATGACAGAATTCATGTAAGACACAAGCAAGCTTGGGTTTTGTCATTATTTTGGTTTTTATATTGTGTAATATATATATGAAGTTAATTACAATAATGCCCCTCCGTTTTGTTTCAATCACTATAAATACTCCTAAATATTTCATCCTCGGTTATTGGTACTTTTAATTCAGATTTTTTTTTTTCTTTTAGTATCCATATTAGTCTAGAGCTGAGGAGGAAATAGGTTCTTATAATTTCGCACTCACCCAATAAGCTTGAAAATTTTGAACTTTTCTTTTCTTTGTACTCGAACTCCATATTTACGTACAAGTTTTGGTTTGTTAACTTTGTTGGTGTATATATGGATTAGCAATGGCTGAAGAGATGGCCTAAGCATGCTGCCATGATAAGGTTGGCCGGGGAAGGAAGCTGGTTCCATCAATTCCGAGTGGTTGCGCTTTTTAGGGTTTCACCATTTCCTTATACAATATTCAATTACGCGATTGTGGTGACGAGTATGAGATTCTGGCCTTACTTATGCGGTTCGGTTGCGGGCATGATACCTGAAGCATTCATTTACATTTACAGGCACACTTCTCTCTCTCTCTCTCTCTCTCTCTCTCTCTCTCTCTCTCTCTCTCTCTTCACACATTGCCCAATCTCTCGTCCAAAATTGCAGCTTTCTCTATAGCATATGTTTCTTCTTTTATCATGAAATTAGACATATCGAGGGGACACGAACCTCATGAGTAGTAGCTATTTTGGAGATACTACAGATTTTTTTTTTTTTATTTTTTTTTTCAAGTAGTCTAAATTTAGGAGTAGTTTCTGTTATTTACCCTTGAGACTTGCCTTAGCAATGAAGCAAATAGTACGTTCTGTAATCTCTATTGGTAACATAAAAAATGAACATCTTCTTTCTTCCAGTAAAAGGCTATTATGTTCTGTTGTGTTCTCTCGGGTTGAGGAAGAAATAACTACAATAACCGAGTAGGTTTCACCAATTTACAAACCCGAAAAACGATTATCTTCTGAAAAGTTACAATTATATGTCCTCGAAAAAGCAAGCTACATATAAGGTACATAATTCCAGAATCCTGGTTTAAAGTTGATTTTCATAGGTTTCGGATTATCATTCTTGGCTTGAAACTTTTGTTCATACTAATGTTGTTCGTGTTTTCATTTTTTTTCTTATTTTTGTTTCCTGCAGTGGTCGGCTCATAATGACATTAGCAGATGTCCAGTATGGGAACCACCATCTGACTCTTGTCGAGATTGTTTACAATATCATCTCCTTCATAATTGCCATTATAACAACAGTTGCTTTCACGATTTATGCCAAGAGAACGTTGAGTGAGCTCGAGACATCTGCAGGAGACTGTGAAAGAGGCTCGTCTGGTGGCAGCAATAAGACAAGTTTAGAGCTGGGGAAACTTCCACTTGAAAAACACAAGAATAGTTTTGCATATTCTTGAAACATTATCTTCAGCTTTCAGCTTAGTTTTAGATTTCTAACTGTCAACCAAATGTGATTTGAATCTGGAAAAAAGGAATTATGACCTCGAATTGCTCTATTTTGTTGTCAGGTAAATCCAAATTGATTGTTCCGTTGTGTAACACTCACATGTATAAAGAAAGAAAAAAAAAAAAAACATGTTCACTCTTGGGAATAAGTGTTCAAGATAATGTTGCATGATTTACCTTTAAAGATGCGTTATTAATGATTTGAATTTGAAAACCCATTTCCGAATTTCAGATTTTTGGTAAAGGTTTAAAGGTAAAAGAACCATTACTGTCAAAACCACAAACAGCCTCCAATTTATTCAGCTACTCATGTGGTTCTACACTAGAAGAGCAATATTTTTCCCTCATCCATTTCTCTACTTCAAATCTCAACAATGGTTTCATTTAATTTTCCCTATTTACAAATAGGAAGAAATCCAATGTGACAAGCTACCAATTCTGCCCAACTAACTTCAACATAAACATAAAGCACCATTGCATACCACGATCTAAGACCTAAATCACATAAGACTTTCCTCCCACTCTAAAGATCAAATCACATAGGCCATAAGTAATACACTATCCTTGCACAAATTTCCTCTCACCACGTAAGCTTTCCTCTCTTAGACGCCCCCTTACGCATGCCCAACTGTAACCACCTCATAAATCCATCCGAGCGAAAAAATTAAAGATAAATTTATGAAAATCACAAGGGACATGATTAGAGACATAATCAAATACGTCAATTACGTTAAAAATTAGGTCACATTGGATAAATTTATGAAAAAATCACAAGGGACATGATTAGAAACATAATCAAATACGTCAATTACGTGATGAATGGCGGGGTTTAGGTGGGACATATAAAGTGTCACCACATTCAATTGGGGTTTGCATTAGGGGATTATTTAAAAGGAAAAAATTTGTTCTCTTAGTTTTTTTATTTTATGGAGTAAGTTGAAAGATGGGAATAAATTATTTAAGGAGGATGAAATAGAAAAGCAGCAGTTTATGTGGAATTCCCCTTGTGGCCTGCCGCCTAGCATTTCCTGCAGGTACAATCACTAGCTTTGACTAATTTCGCACCACAATCCATCTACTTTGTGGTCGGGTGTTTGCCACATCATCAGAATCAAAGAATTCCTCATCACTTGAGCCAACCTTGATTGGGAAGGATGGCAGGCTAAAGAGTCCTCAAGGAGCTCGGTTTCATGCTGAAAGTGGTTTAATTAACATCAATTGCTTGATAAATTAACAGTATATGCAGCATTAGCACAACACAGGTCTTGTTAAAATTTAAGGCTCCATTAAGATGTATCGATAATACAATTTCGGCCTCAAGATTCTCAGCCATTATTTAACTAATCATCAAAAGATCTTTTCAATACTTCATCCACCACGTGTTTCTATTCCGGTACCTGTCACTCACTCACTTCCTAACAACTTAAAGATAATTTCCATAGTATTAACACATGCAGACAGCTATACGGTTTCAGTATGCAGACCCTGTTGCACGCATTTCTATATTGATAATACTGTCAACACTTTAATGATGCATATTTATCATTATACTGATATATATTTGTGGTTAAATGTGATGTAAATATCGATAAAGGTCCACAATATAATCTGCAAAAAACGCTGCATTTAATAACACATGTTGAACTCTAACTTGCAAAGTGGAAATCCAACAGGGTAAATAGCATAAAGTTCCTCACAAATATCAATAAACTAAAGACGACATGAAACACTAAATATTGGACAGGAAATGATGCGTCTGGTATACAGTTATGTAATTATCCAATAAATTATGCAACGAAATATTTCCGTGCCATCAAACAGAAAAATTCTACAAAGAGCGTATACAAGATACGCTTGACCTAATGTTGTGATCATCTAATGCGAACGAGGGTCGTATCCTTAAAAATGCCCGACGAGCTCAACTCAAGAAGGTTAGGACTGAGACAGATGCTGGTGCAACACTCAACATCCATGCAGCAGGTCCTCATGCTTCAAGCCGCGCCGCGAAGCCCTCCACGCTGCGGCCATCACCACGGACGGACAAAGAGTTTGGGACAGCAGGTGGCCACGCCGCTGAACTTCCAGTTCACCACACCGCGCATGCAGCTGCTCGTGAGGGGCCGACAGAGACCACAGGGATGAACGCAAGCCACGCCGCGGCAGCCGGTCACCTCCACGTCGTGACACATCGCCGCACCGCGACACCACTGAACAGGAGCGGTTCCAAGCAGTTATAGCAGTATTTCTTCAGTTTTCCTTTCAGAATTCGTAGGGTATGAATGGCAGTTTTCTATGAGCTTTAAGAAGTCAGACTTGTATTATTTTCTTTTTCAAGCAATTTCATAATCAAAAAATGCTCGTTTGAGCACCAAATCTCGTGTCGACCAACGGCCATTTCAGTGTGGGTTTACACTTTTCGTATTTTTCTTTAATTTAGATACACGATCGTAACATTGGTGCTTTCATTAAGAGAACACCGATCGTGTATCCATGTCCAATCGAGATAGAATTGATCATTTGGAGGAGATCGCGTGCGTTCAATCAACGAGGACATACAATCGACAAATCAAGTGGTTGCTAGAATTGAGAGGATGTTGCTCCAAAACGCAGCAAGGAAAGCGAGGAGGGACAATTCCGATTCTTCGTCGAACGGGGAATCAGACGCATGTACTGAAGCCGATTTCCACAATGGATTCGCGGGTGAAGACGATAACCATTCAAGGGGCTCGAATCAACGGGAACGACGTAAGAACGAAAAACCTAAGGTTAGTTTACCAACTTTCAATGGTACGGATCCCGATTCGTGGTTAAATAGAGCAATTCAGTATTTTGACATTAATGAGGTCCCGAGAAACGAACGAGTAAAATTTGCTGCTTATTAGCTCGACGGAGAGGCAAATGTGTGGTGGCGTTGGACATCAAGAGTTTACAAGAAGAAAAATCGTATTATTCGTTGGAGGCAATTTAAAAAGGAATTGATGACGAGGTTTGGTGAGTCGGATTTCCACGAATTTGATTAAACCCTTTCACACATCAAGCAGGTCAGGAGTTTACGTGACTACCATAAAGAATTCGAACGAATAGAAAGTCACGTTCATGATTGGCCGGAGAGTGCGTTAATTAGTGTTTTGTAGGTGGTTTGAGGGCCGAACTCGTGGCTGAGGTTCGATTGAAGAGGCCGAAGACTCTACGGGCAGCAACTGAAGCGGCTCGGATACGTGATGATCATTTGATGGCCATGAAGAGGGCAAGTCAAATGAATAGGCAAGGCAGAACGAGGATTGAAGGCTGAAGACATTTATTGCATTTTTGTAGCGCCCCGTTTATTTGTGGATTATTTGGGATTTATTTTTATTATTTTTATTGCTATTATTATTGTTATTATTAATTGGTAATAATATTTATATTTTATTTTATTGAATGCCATTGTATTTATTTATTTGTCAAATGTGTTTAAATGCTAATTGTGAAATTTGTCTAATTGTTTATTTGATTTTTGTGATTTTTTAAATTATTAATATGTATAAATGTGTATGTGATAATGTGTATTATAAAAATATGAAATATATATATATATATATATATATATATATATATATATATT